ACCAGCACACACCTCAGGCTCTCTCTCTATCTGAGTTGTTCTCCTCTCCCCCCATCCAGGAGCCCAGCAGGGAGCGGCAGGCAGGGAGGGAGGACGTGCTGGGAGCAGGGCTGCGGTGTCGCCTCGGACCAGACGGTACCAGGGAACAGAGGGAAGGAGAGAAGTCAGGGCAGCAGGGATGGGAAGGATGGAGTGACCACCCCTGTGACTCTCAGGGGCAAGTGGGGCTGTGCTTTCGGGCTGTGAGATAACACAGTGAGGAGTAAACTCTGTGTGGTCCCCGCTGGTCTCCCCTTCAGCATCTGGATCGTCCAGATCACAGCCTGAATCCAAACACCACTGATGCCCCACAGTCCGGTGTGACCCTCCCCTCCCAGCACCTCCAGCAAACACACCCCATCAACCAGTGAAAAACCAAGTCTCCTGTCAGCCACACCCCATGGACTCACCTGTACGGGGTGTGAGAAACACAGCAGACTCCTGGCCAGTCTCAGAGCCTGGAGGGGAAGGGAAGCTGTCAGAGCCCCCAGAGGAAGTGACCCTCAGTGAGGCAGGTGAACAGTGCAGGGAGTCAGCGTGACAGAGCGGGGACACACTTGGGCTCAGTGTTAACACTCTCCAGAGTCATGGCTCAGCCAACTGAGAGTCAATCAGGCTCTCAGAGGCCTCAGTTTCCTTGTCTGTAAAATGGGGTTGATAGCTGTCCCTATCTCAGAGGGCTCTTGTGAGGTTTAAATGATTTAATTCACGTTAATTCCTTAAAATAGTATCTGATCCTTTTATTTGAAGAATCCTGGGAAAAAAGAAAGTCCATGGATTTAGCTCCTGATAGCTTTTTCGAAGATGATTAGGACCCACTTTCTCAACACGCATCCCCTGTGCCTCTTCTTACGAGCAGAATGAGAGCTGTTCCAATTTTTCTGTCCCCTGTGGTGGGAGGGGCACCACTAGGAATCCAGGGTGGACCTAAGGGTGAGGAAGTGTCAGAGCAATGCAGACTCATACACCATGAACACAGACATACACATACAAAGACCCACACATGCTTATATACACACATATACACCAA